AACACAAATGAATATGTAAATACTGGGAAAAGAAAAAGGAAAACGTGTTTCTGAGTGAACAATAGAACCAAAGTACAATATCTCAGTGCAGTGAAATATTGTATGTGTGTGTGTGTGTGTGTGTGTGTGTGTGATGTAAATGTACTGTCACCCTAGAAAAATGTTTGCCCCTCTTCTGCCACCCCATCAATAATTTTGTAGATCCGTCCCTGTGGCTGAATGAATGAGTTATGTAAATCTGTGGTTCGGTACACATACAGTTATATTTAATTTAGGTATTATTTACATGAACAACAGGATTTAAAGACGACCGCATTGTGTAAAAAAGCTAATTATGGGTTCAAGGTGAAACTCAAACAGCAAATGTGAAGAAAACAAACCGTCGCAGTTTAAATGCGAAATATAAACCAATAAAAAAGCCTCAAAACTACGTTTACTGCGAGAGCTGAAGAAGAGAAATGACAGAAGTATTAAGTATAGGCTAAGTCGTTATTAGGATTATTATTATACAGCTGAGCTAAAACATTTTTAAAGTTTTTGTAAAATCAGCATGGGGGGGGGGGTTCCTGCACAAATGGTCTGTTAGAGGTCAAAGGTCAGATCTTATCTTTCAGGATGTTCTGCTCAAAAGCAGAATTCCTGGTTGTGTTACAGAAAATGGTTCTGGTCCTGAAGTAGCAGCAGAACCAGCCCAGACCATCGCATACCGCCACCATGTGCGACTGTTTCTTTAGTGTTTTAGAAGATTCTGGAACCCCCCCCCCCCACACACACACACACACACACACACCTGTGAAATCCAGCTACTTTGATAAAACAGCTGATCCTGAGGGAGTCGTCAGAAAAAGGAAACGACAGAACAACTTCAGTTCTTGTTTCAACAAAAAAACTTCCCATTTTTATATTCAAGTGTGAAAAAAATCCTTGAAAATGTTGAATTTTAACGCATTTTTTTTTCAAGATGTAAAAAAAAAGGTTTCCGGGTATATATTTGGATAAAACCTGAACTAACTTCATATTTGGTTCCTAGGACTATGTTTATGTTTATGTTTATGTATTTAGCAGACGCTTTTGTCCAAAGCGACTTACGGGTGATCATCGGCATGTTGCCCTTGAGGCTAACAACAACAATAACAACAACAACTTGAAGTCCATCATGGAGAGGAGGGAACAAGGAGTGGACAGTAGAGAGGGGGGGCGGGTGCAGGGAGGGTGCTAGTTTAGAAGATGCTCTCTGAAGAGCAGGGTCTTCAGGAGTTTCTTGAAAATTGAAAAGGAAGCCGCTGTTCTGGTAGTGCTTGGAAGGTCATTCCACATTTGTGGAACGATGCATGAGAAGAGTCTGGATTGTCCTGAGCGTGGTGTAGGCACTGCTAGCCGACCATCCTGTGATGACCGGAGCGGCCGGGCCGAGACTAAAACATGAAGAGGGGTCTGAGTGGCTTTAGGATTTTTTTGCTCCGGTGCAGTCCGTGCACTCACTCACCTAGAAGTTGTTATTTTAGTTGAATCAAGAGAAAACAGGGATGCTGCTGGAGGCTGTTGCCCTGACGATGAGTGCGGTGATGAAATGTGGCAGCTCGGTGTGGTGCCCTGTTGGGGGAGGGCGTTTTTGACGATGACATCATCAGGTCTAATGCCATCCTGTGACCCCCAGAACAACACAAACACACGCTCACGTGCACACAGACATACATTACGGTTTCGTGTTGCAGTATTGATCGCGCGTGCCGTTTGTGCTGGATGCTGCTGATATTTGAGACGGTGCTGAACGCAGCCCTTCGACATCATCCACAATAACAGAACACTTCTCCCTCCGCTGCTCTTGTTGCTCCATAATTCTACCACATTCTAATCTGGTCTTCAGTGTTTAATCTGAATGTGTTCTGTCGTCTGTGCCTTTGTTAAATGAAGTGGAACATCAGTCTACTTCTGCCCCAGTGCCCGAGGGGCCGAGGCATTAACGCCAGCTGACCTCGTCTAAATCCCTTCTCCCTTTTGGCCAGATTTATCCTCTCAGTCGTTTGGCTTCATTGTGTTGTCTTTTCGTTTGTCCTGCCAGGCGACTACCCAGCAGTAAGGGACTTCCTCCATCCCAAACCAACAAACGCTTGACCCAGCTCATTTCCATCCTCCCTTTGTTTCAATCATGGACACCCCTGGAGGGTTGACCTCGGCTCTGGATGGACCCGTGGACCCCGGGATCAGCAAGGGTCGTTTGGATCTCAGCGGGCTCTATCGTCTGGGTCGGACCCTGGGAAGAGGCCACTTTGCTGTGGTTAAGCTGGGCCGTCACGTCAACACGGGCCAACTGGTTGCTGTAAAGATGATCGACAAGACGAAACTGGATGTAATGGCTGCCAGTCACCTCTTACAGGAAGTCAGGTGTGAAAAAACACTCGTAGCTGCTAAAGTGAACATGTATATGTGAGTTGATACATAGACACATATTGATTCTGATTTTGTGAGCCAGTACCGATTTGTCAGTCAGCCACTGTATCAAGCCAGTATTGACTATTTTTTGTGTCGCATCAGCCACTTTAGTAGAGCCAGTTTAACAACAGGCACATACATGGGCTACCTAAGACTGCTGCCAAATTTAAATGTGTGCAACGGTTTAATTTACATGTTATTTAATGAGCCATAAGACGTAAGATTCCATAGCAAATATGAAATCAACCTCATGGATCTGCGGGTGCTGTTTAACCAGAAGATTGGAACTTTTTATTGCAGGGATTATGTAACAGCCTCGTATTCACTCAGAGACAACAGAAGAGAGAGAGAGAGTCAAGTTTTAAAAGTTTAAAGATTTATTACTAAACAAATTAAAACTAGACTAACTTTAACACCAAATGTATGGTGTAACTAAGGTGGATGAGACGGAGAATGGTGTGATGTGGAATGTTGCTCAGAACCAGCAAATCCGAAGAAGCGATTAGTTCTGGTGGGAAGTGAAGGTGATGTCTTCGCGCTAAGCTTTGGTTAGGAGATTCATAAACACATTCGACGCCATTCTGTCGGTCTACGTACCCTTAGCGGAAGTCCCCGTTAGATCAGGAGGTGTAGAGGTCCAGCTTGACCTTTATGGAGCCGAAGCCTGTAGAAACAGCCGCGGCAGCTGACCACCCTTCTTTAGATACTTCCGGGTCACAACAGTTTGTTGGCTTCTAGCGAGACCCAAACCTGGGTCGTGATGGTTCAGCTTTTATTCTGAAAGGAACCGTTGCAGCAGTTGGAACAGCAACAGATTTTATCCAGCTTGTCGTTGGTTCTTTCGGCTGAAGAGGAAAGTTACGGATTGGCCACTCCGACAACTTCTCTAGAACGCTTTGAACTGGCGTTAAAGATGACGTGGGCATAGTTTTATACTTCGGATGTTTTGGTTTATGGTCGAATGAAAAGATGACAGATTTACCAAACACCACCAAAACCACGCCTCCGTCAGATCTGGCAGATTCTGATTGGATCAGTAAAGCAATGTGTCATGTCTTAACGCTACGTGAGATCAGTCCTAGTGGAAACATTTAAAGTCATATTACTTATTATATTCTAGAGGATTATAATAAAGTAATTAATATTTAGATTTCACAGATTGGTCACATCTTATTATTGACTAACACTTTGTTTGATTAGCTTTATTAAAATAGAGTTCTTTAATTTATTAAAAGGAGAGAGTCCGTTCTTCATTCTTCTCTTGAGCTGGAAAGAAGCAGTTTTATAACAAATGCATGAGACCTTGAGGCCATATCTCATGCAGACTAGTTCTGTGTCAGAGGAGAGGGGGAAATTACTTTTGGTAGAAAACAGTCATTTCATTCCGTTACACGTGTATGCATACTGTACATTCCAGATAAAAGGCTGCTTAAAAATGCTCTTAAACATCGTCAACTGAAAGGTTTTTATTCACATATTTCATAGTTAATGCTTGACCCGTTTATTGATTGGTCTGATTAACTTTGGTTACATGTTTGATTTTAACTCTGAGCCGTGCACATGAATAGGATTCAACAGTGGGTTAAATTCAGATTCAGGGTCAGAAACGTTGTGCGCCAGCTGTTCCGTGATGTTTTTGCAAAAACGGATATTAGCCATGAAAATCAGCCCAAAAAGTCAGCAGCACACAACAGCCAAGACCCGTACATATCGGCATCGGCAATAGAAAACCCATTTGGGCCGATCTCTAGCCGATACCGATTTGAGATGCTTTTGCAGCTCGGACCCGCTGATGTCCCAAAGATCTAAAATTCACACGTGTAATTAAAAAGAAAATCTGATCAAACTAAGAACTTCTATCCTTTATTGAATTAGCATTAGCAGTATCTTCTGGGGATTTTTTTAGTGAATCTCTGGTTGTTTCAACTCTTAACTCCACCGTCTCCTGCACTGTAACATTTTATTCTGTTCAACTTAGACGTGTTTTTGTTATTTAGAGCGACTGGAATTGATCTAAAATCTTTGGTTTTAGAACTAAACATTAAAACATCTTTGTTTTTCATTTCTGTTATGTCCCGCTAGTTTTAAATCGTAAAGCAAATAAAAATGTCACCAATAAAGAGCTCCTTCTGGAGGTTAATAAGTCCGATCACATATAAAATATATAATTTGTAGAAATGCAACAAAGACCAACTGTTGATTGGAAAAAACCTCAAACACTTTATGTTTATGTATTTAGCAGACGCTTTTGACCAAAGCGACTTACAAGCGATGATCGGCATGTTGCCCTTGAGGCTAACAACAACAATAACAACAACAACCAATTTCCAGTCAGTCGTAGGTGGCAGTGAGGCAGCATGATGAATCATGGAGAGGAGGGAACAAGGAGTGGACAGTAGAGAGGGGGACAGGTGCAGGGAGGGTGCTAGTTTAGAAGATGCTCTCTGAAGAGCAGGGTCTTCAGGAGTTTCTTGAAAATAGAAAAGGAAGCCCCTGTTCTGGTAGTGCTTGGAAAGTCATTCCACATTTGTGGAACGATGCATGAGAAGAGTCTGGATTGTCCTGAGCGTGGTGCAGGCACTGCTAGCCGACCATCCTGTGATGACCGGATCGGCCGGGCCGAGACGTAAGCCTTTGCAAGAGGATTCAGGTAGATGGGAGCCGTACCATCTCGGACTTTGTATGCTAGTGTTAGCAATTTGAATTTGATGCGTGCTGCTAGCGGTAGCCAGTGGAGCTCAATGAACAGAGGGGTGGCGTGTGCTCTTTTTGGCTGGTTGAAGACCAGACGCGCCGCTGCGTTCTGGACCATTTGAAGAGGTCTCACAGTACAGCCTGGAAGACCAGTTAGAAGGGCGTTGCAGTAATGGAGGCGGGAGATGACAGTAGATTGCACCAGGAGCTGGGTGGCATGTTGTGTTAGGTATGGTCTGATCTTTCGTATGTTACACAGCGCAAAGCGGCATGAAGGAGCAACAGAGGCAACATGATCTTTAAAGGTCAGGTGTTCATCAATCACAACACCCAGATTTCGAACTGCCTTTGAAGGAGCCAGAGATAGGAAGTCATATTGGATTGAGATATTGTGCTGTATGGATGGTTTTGCTGGGATGACAAGTAGTTCAGTTTTAGAGAGGTTGAGTTGGAGATGGTGAGATTTCATCCATTTTGATATATCAGAGAGACAGTTTGATATTCGTGCAGAGACAGTGTGGTCGTCCGGTGGAAATGACAGATAGAGCTGGGTGTCATCTGCATAGCAGTGGTAGGAGAAGCCATGTGATCGAATGATTTCACCCAGTGAGGTGGTGTATATGGCAAAGAGAAGAGGTCCTAGTACAGAGCCCTGGGAGACTCCTGTGGCAAGATGGTGCACGGTAGAGGGTTGTCCAAGCCAAAATACACTGAATGATCGTCCTGTGAGGTAAGATTCAAACCAGGCGTGTACTTTCTCTGTGATGCCCATGCTAGAGAGTGGACAAAAGGAAGCCATGGCTGACAGTGCCAAATGCTGCCGATAAGTCGAGCAGGATAAGCACGGAGGATTTTGCAGTCGCCCTAGCTTCTTTTAAGGATTCAGTCACTGCTAACAGAGCAGTTTCAGTGGAGTGGCCCTTTTTGAACCCAGATTGGTAATGGTCAAGCAGACAGTTTTGTGAGAGGTATTCTGTGATCTGCTTGAAAGCCACCCTTTCAATGATTTTGGACAGAAAAGGGAGGAGAGAGATAGGTCGGTAGTTCTCCACATGATTTGGAGGAAGAGATGGTTTTTTTTTAGCAGCGGTTTAACCTGAGCATGCTTGAGAGAGGTGGGAAATGTACCGGATGTCAGTGAAGCGTTGATCACATGTGTGACTGCTGCGGCTACTGTAGGAGCAATAGCTTGGAGCAGCTTAGTCGGAATGGGGTCCAGTGGGCATGTGGTAGGGCGGCTGCACGTGAGAAGCTTGGACACACAGTTTTCAGTGAGAGGGGGAAAAGAGGAAAATGAAGCAGTAGGGCTTGAGATGGTTGGGCTAGAAGGAGTTTGTGGTAGCGAATGTTCAGGAGTGGCCAGTTGAGTTTTGTTCAATTTTTGAAAATAAATGAAAGATTTTCCAGTTTAATTTGCCGTCACTAAATGCTGATTCTCTCCAGCAACAACAGACCTTCTATTAATCTTATTTTTTGAGTTTGTGACATTAAAACTTGTAGTATTAGTTTATTTGGTTTTTAGATAAATCTGCAAAAAAATTGGTATTGGCTCTCAGAACTAGGATTGTTGCATAAAATTTCATTGTGAGAAAAAATATTCAGTCATTACTGTCAGATGTTTTCTGACTAACCGACGTGAAGCAGTTCCCTCATAAACCATGGTTTTTAGATGAAATGAATCTGGTTTTAATGGTTGTCAGAGAGAACAGGATGTTTGCTGCAAAGGTAAAACTCAGCCTGAGCTGTCGGGCATCTGAAGTACATAAACTCCTGAACTTTTCCCCTTTCAAAAAAACTAGGGCTGTGACTCGATAAAAAAATTTAATCTAATTAATTAGAGGCTTTGTAATTAATTAATCTAAATTAAACACATTTTTAGAGTGTTTCTGTTTTAACTTAAACTTCTGTTTTCAACTTTAAGACGCGTTGTTTGTGATTGTTTACGGAGTAGTGAGAACACGGAGCGTTCTCCCAGCGGCAGCTAGGTGCCTTTCGTTTGTCTGACTACTTTCATAAACTACTGTTAGGGCAAAGAATTATTCTGTCTGGTGCTTCCAGCGCTGCACAGATGTTACGTAAATGTTAAAAATATAGCTTACCGCAACTTTTGTAAAGTTTCCGGTGCCACTGGGCAGCTGCAGCAGAGACCATCTCTAAAAAATGTCCGCTATAAGGACGCCGTTGTTGTCTGGAAGTTTTTTTTTCCAAGTTAAGAAAAGAGGCGGACATGTTTCCTAAATCCTGCATCAGTCCAAGCAAGGCAACCTCTTTCTGTTTTTATTCCGTTTTAGTAGCCGTTAGCACTGTGCATTGTTGTGTGCGTCAGTGATATTCGGTCTACGAGGAAGTCGTGTAATGACAAAGGTTCCGCCTTGCTCGAAATGCAAGCTGTGATTAAATGCGTAAATTTTTTTTACGCGTCTTTTTTTTCTAATTAATTAATTAATCATAATTAACGCGTAAAGGCCCGGCCCTAAAATAAACAGATGACTCATCAGAAAATCTAGGAGACGCAGCAGTTTTACTTTACTTACTGGAGAAAAGAAGGAAATAATTACAGTTCTGTGCAAAAATGTAGCTGGAATAAAGTTTGTAATTTTATTAAAAGTCTGTATTTAGAATACCATCATTTTAAACGACTTCCAGTTAAGTAATGTATCTTTTATTCAACACTACTTTTACTCAGAATTCAACGCGTTTGCACATTTTGATGAAAACTAACCTTTTCTGGATTTTTAAACATTTAAATCAAATGTAATGTTTTATGTTGTTGAGGGAGATAAACAACCAGCTCTGCTGCTTATTTCCAGATGCATGAGGTTGGTGCAGCATCCCAACGTGGTTCGTCTGTATGAGGTTATCGACACGCCCACCACGCTCTACCTGGTCATGGAGCTGGCCGAAGGTGGCGACCTCTACGACTACATCCTCCGCCACGAGCGAGGCGTGGCCGAGGTCACAGCCAAGCGTCACTTCGCCCAGATCGTGCGCGCCGTGGCGCACTGCCACCAGCTGCATGTGGTCCACCGGGACCTGAAGCCTGAGAACGTGGTGTTCTTCCCACAGCAGGGAGCAGTCAAGCTGACGGACTTTGGGTTCAGCAACTTATTTCAACCGGGGATGATGCTGGCCACCAGCTGTGGGTCGCTGGCCTATTCTGCTCCAGAGATTCTGCTGGGAGAAGAGTACGATGCTCCAGCTGTAGGTGAGAGACGGAAACATGCATTTAAACCTGCAGTTCTAACGTTTACACACTTTAAAATACAAAGTGTGTGTAAACTACTATGAAATAACCTGGTATTGTTGCACGTAAGAGCCTGAATGCTGGTTAAACTTAACTAAAGCCTAGTTTTTATGAACACAGCTCACTCTTGATGCTTTTCAAGGTTCTTTGTTACCTTTCTGTGTGACACCTTGTACAGCAGCATATCTGCGGGTCCTTAAAACGTCTTAAATTAGCTTTTCCAAATTTAAGGCCTTAAAAATCCTTAAAAATGACAAATAATCCTCAAATACAGTTTCCAAAAGTCTTAAAATGCCAAAGACCCAATAAACAAGATTCTTTTATTTCTATAAGATTTTCGTGAATTTCTAGTTGGTGTTCAGCATTTTTTGTGTGCGATGTTGCCGTAAGCGGAACCGTACACATGCAGTTGGTTGTGAAAGGGGGCTATTTTTAGATGAGCACGTTAGCTGGTTTAGCTAGTGGGAGCTTGCGCCATGGGGAAGTGCAAGTTTAATGGTAACTGGATGGCTAATCCCACGTTCGCGACGTGGTTAGCACCGGTTCCAGGCAATAGGTGGAAATCATAACTTAAAATAAATTTTAAAAAATGGCTTAAATTTGGTCAAAGTGGCCTTAACAAAGGTCTTAAAAAGTCTTAAATGTGGCTCCCTTAAACCTGCAGATACCCTGTTTACATCAGATCACTTCTTTATGGTCTCCCCAACAAACTCCTTCATAAACTGCAACTGGTCCAGAATTCAGCAGCCCGTATTATCACCAGAACCCCTTCCTTTCACCACATCACCCCGGTTCTCCAACAGCTTCACTGGCTCCCAGTTAAATTCAGGTCCATCTTCAAAATTCTCCTCCATACCTTCAAAGCAATCCACAACCTCTCTCCTCCATATATCTCAGACCTTATAAGTATTCACACCCCATCCCGTTCTCTCAGATCTTCTTCTTCCATCCATCTTGCGGTTCCTTCTGCCCGTCTCGCTAACATGGGGAGCAGAGCTTTCAGCCGCTCTGCTCCTCGTCTCTGGAACTCACTTCCCCCAGACATCAGGAACATCGACAGTTTTACCCTTTTCAAAACAAAACTCAAAACACACATGTTTAAATCTGCCTATGACCTCTGATTTTATTGTACTGTTTCTCTCTTTGTTTTTTTTTTCTTGTTTGGGTTTTATTATTGTTTTATTGTATTTTATTAAGTGTTTTCTGTCAAGTGACAGTGGGTGTTCTGAAAGGCGCTTTTAAATAAAATGTATTATTATTATTATTATTATAAATACAAAGCGGTTGCTAAGGTTTTCTGCTCACCTGGCATGACTCAATATATCAAAAAAGCATTTTTACTGCAGCTTCTACATGCACATCATCAGGATCAACACGTGCAACGCTGTGGTGTGTCCAGTATGCATGCCTGAGCTGCAGGCCAGCAGTATCGTTCTGATGGGGCATCACCAAAGATTTAAAGCTGATTCTAGTGTTTTTTGTTCCCGTTTGTCCATGTGTGGCCCTCTGTCCTCCTGACCCTTTCGGGCATTCCCCGTGCATCTTTTTGATCGCGTGCTGCGACATAAATGTGACCGAGTGTTGATCTGAATGCAACTGTGTCTCGGATTAGTTTGTGTATCTGGGTCAGTCCGAGCGAGCCGGTTCTGCGGTGGATCCAAACTCTGCAGCTTTTCTGCAGCGCGACGGTCGGACGGATGAGACAGGAAGTGGTTTTTGGTTTGTTATCATGGTAAAGGCTGAACCGATTGAGGGAATTAGGTGTTTTAAATGCAGAAGGAGGGCTGAGGGATTTGGTTTATATATCCCACTTGAGGAGGACGTATGGTAGGGGGTGGGGGAGGTCGCTGGTCCTATCAGCTAAGCGGGACTAGGCTGGATTTAGTTTTGGCTGCTTTTTACTCCGATGAAAACAAACGCGTCTGTGCTGAGTACAAATGCATCCTATTAGCCCGCTCTTGTAGAAGGAGACCTTCTGCATCATCTGTCTTTGTCTTCAAGGTTGAGGCGGAAGGGTGTCCCCGTGACAGGAGGACATTTCATTTAAAAGCTTGTGGACTTCCTTTTCTTTCCTTGTGACCTTGTGTCATGGGTGTGGTGATGAAGGAACGCTGCTCAACTTTCAGCGTGACACCCAAGTTGCACTGCTTCTCTTTTCTTCACACTAGTTCCTGTTTCTGAAAGCAGCATTTTTACCTCCGAGAAGCTTTTCGCTCAGAAAACGGGGCCCATCTTCTGTTTCATAACCCTGACTCATCGATATCTGGATGATGTCACCACTTTGATAGAAACGTACACTTCTATCACCCCCACAGACACACGCTGACACAGGCATGTGTGTGTGGCTGTAATCCTGAGCTGCACGTTGAAGAAGATGTCTCGGCTTACAAAGATGACTCATAAATCTGCACACGCGCACGCACAAACGTCTCTTCCTTGTGAGCGTTTGGCAGCTGTTTAAATCCCTCTTCATTTGTGCTCTGTTGGATGTGTGTTTGATTACTGGTTTATGGGCAGCATACAGGCAGGTTGAGCGGGCTGTCCAGTAATCGGAAGGTTGCAGGTTCAATCCCGGCTCCGGACAGAGAATTCTGCTGTTGTGTCCTTGGGCAAGACACTTGACCCACGTTGCCTGCTGGTGGTGGTCTGAGGGACCGGTGGCGCCTGTGCTCGGCAGCCTCGCCTCTGTCAGTGCGCCCCAGGGCAGCTGTGGCTACATCGTAGCTCATCACCATCAGTGTGTGAATGTGTGTGTGAATGGATGAGTGATACACTGTAGTGTAAAGCGCTTTGGAGTCCTTACTCGGAGAGGCGCTATACAAGTGCGGGTCATTTATCATTTATTGTCACATGATGTGGAGGGGAGGGAAGAAGGTCCTCCGGGTGGAAACGCCGGCCTCGGTTACATAAGAGCAGCACAAGTCTGTCCGTTCGTTAAACTGTTAAGTAATAAATAGACAGAGAAATTTACTATATTTACTAATCTGATTATTACTAATGTTATTTCAACGTGGGGCTATGTGGTGTGGTTCTGATCAGTCGGTATCTTACCTGCACTGCTTGATAACAGAAACAAAATCCTAATCAGGATTATTTTAGTGTGTGATAAACATGTGCACGGGTATTGTGGCCCCCTGCCCATGCTGTTAGAATGAATGTTTTTTTAAAGAGCAAGTCACCCCCAAATCAACTATTTTTTCTGATAAACTATATAAATGCGTGTCTAATCGTGCTGCAGACACGTGTCGTCAATAGTTTTGCACTTTAGTGCATTTTAGTTAAAAATTTAAAATTTCTGCCGAAAACTGTCAGTGTTGTGCCGTTGTTGGGTAAAAACTTTGGACTGCGTTTGAATTTTAATCTGCCATCTCTATTGGCTAAGAGGTATCCTAGAACGTTAGCTGGTACCATATGATGTCACAATGTCGTTGTGAGCCTGGGTGTGTGTGTCGCTGTGTCTCAATTCAGGGTCTGCATCCTTCGAAGGACCCAGTCTACTCGGCCGACGTGGGCTGGGTCCTCCGTCGGCCGGGTGGACCGGATGTTAACGGCTGTGAATTTGGACAGGCCTGGCCTTCATGAATTCCCGCCACTCCCTCGGCGAACGTTCCGTCGCCTAGCAACCGTGGAACCGCTGAGCAGAAGGGAGAAGGAACTTTAAATGATGGAGATCGAAGTTTTATTTAGATTTTTAATCATTTCCTTGACTGTTGGAGAGCTAATTCAGAGAAAATACTTTCGACAAGCTGAGCCTGAGCAAAGATGTGATAATAGTTGTTAATACTTTCTAAGGGTCTTCATTTGACCAAAACCGATTTTTTAAGACTTTAAGACCCAGCGGATACCCTCTAGTAAACAATTCTCATTTGTAAACAAAAATAAAATTCAAGTGTTTAATGCAGAACTGATTTTATTTAGATATTTCTTTTATATGTACATGTTTAATCTTTATTAACCATTTTTTTCTAGCAAAGTAAAAAGCTGTCAAAGTTCTCCCTTCTCTCCTGTGCCCTCTGCTGCTCTGCCTCCCTCTGCAGCATCATGTCCTCCCTGATCAGCTCCAGAAGCTGGTCATCGCTGTCACCTTCCCCTGGATGCCCATCTTCTCCAGAATAGTCTTAACAAACATGTAAGAAAAGAAACAGGAAGAGAAAATAGGACGACGGGTTGTTCCTTTCATGTTTTCGCAGAAAAAAATAAACTCAAACGAGTTTTTAAAATATGAGATGTTATTGTACCTCCATGCCACAGCCGCCGAATACTTTGCTCCAGTGATCATGTGGTCCATCCCCACCCTAAGTTTAATAAATTCCCTGGTTTTCTCTTTTGTCCCTAAAATACAAACTCCTATTAAAATCAGGGGAAAACATAGCGGGAGAAGTACGACACCGAGCGGCCGAACATACGAGCCGAGACCGCAATAAAAGCACTTTTACTGTAACATTTCTAACTAAAATAACGTTCATGTATCACAAAAAGCCCTTAACCTAACAGTTTTCAAGTTTATGCTGACATTTATATGCGCAATCCTCTCCGACAGCTCCCGCTTCACTGTCCGCCATTGTTTTTAAAAGTTCTGCCGTCCGGCCCGCAAGGCATCTTGGGAAATGTAAACCATTGAAGGATACACCGGACCAGACAGGAAGTGGGAGTGGATTAAAGCTTGGTTTATGCTTGACTCATTTACGTTCCGCTTGGTGATGCGGCTCGCGGATGGAACGCGCTTCACAACTCGCAGTGTTTATGGGTCATGCGGCTCGTCTCTGCGGTGAGCCAATATTCTCCCAGACTGTAGGGGGCAGCATGGAGCTCTACGGCATGCATCCAACACTACACCATAGTAGAAGTAAAAATGACTGTTTACAACATGGCATTCCAGCACTTTTTAACAGCGTCCTCGTCTTTTCCGACAGAGCGAGCTATTTCTCTCCAAGAATTATTAACAACATGTTGATCACGGT